GAGAAACTGGGTAGATAAATTACACAGTTATCTGAGAAATGGACTAAACCTTAAACTTAGATCATAACTTGTTTAGAAATTATTTAGAACATTTCAAAAGTCTTATGAAACTGTTCTAGTAAAGCTGCCATAAATTATATTGCAAATAAATGAAAATATCCTGTTGTCATCTTTAATCCAACTCTCAAGAAAAATTCAAGTAACTTAAAGAAACCAGAACTTTCTCTTAAAATCATTTTCCCATCTTTCATCCATTCTACTTCTAAGAAAATCCAGTAAACACCAAGAAAACAACTTATGAAAATTTGTAAATAATTTTGGAAAGAATTCCTTGGTTCCTATCACATTTAGTCCATCTGCATAAAATGTCTCCCTTAGCCAAATACAAGGTTATGACTCTGGGGCATCATGGGGCCTAGTTGATGCATCTGTTTTAATCCCAGTACACAGCAGGCTTTCAGTGGAGATCACTGAACACTGAAGATCTGACTCCCTGGTCCACAATGAAGGAAGAAGAATGTGTTTCCCACACCTTTGCCTCAGGCCACGCTGTCTGCTCTTTTCTACTCAGCTCCCCAGAGCATCTGCAGCACTGTATGTAGATAGCTCCAGCTTCTGGTCACTTCCAGCTCCCATAGCACCAGGCCAGTCTCATCAGAACTGCTTTCCTTTCAGCTTTCTGGCCTAAGCAGGGGTCCTGAGAGGTGGGCTCCAGCCCTGCCACCCCCCCACACACACTGCCAGCCAGCAGCCTTCCCCTCCCCCATGCTTCTTTCTTGCTCTTTTACAAGTGAGGAAGGGACTTGGGTATCAGACACATAAGAAAAGGCAAAGTTCCTGCTGCAGGCTAAGGTCCTTCCAGGCTGCCCTTAGCTGTTAGTGGAACTTGGGCAGGGTGGGCATCCAGATGCTCTCTGCTCAGTGCTCCCATGGGACCCTCAAGGACACCTGGGACCCCCTCTGCACTGCATGCTCCCGACATAGGTGTTGCACCCTCACCAGCCTCTTCAATCCCCTCAGCTCTCTCTCCAGCGGTACACCTCCAGGCTTGCTCCACTGCTTTGCCTTGCCCTGCACTTGGTTCTCAGCCCAACAGGCAAAGATGCAGCCAGTTCCCCTGGGAAGCCTCCTCTTGCTTGGCCCTGGGAAGGCATGCAGGGGCAGACTGCTGAGACCTGCCCTCTCACCTCAACAGCAGGCAGCTCCAGCTACACCTGCACCTGTGGACTTCTGCAGCTGAGAGGTTAGCACCAGAGGCTAGCACCCTGGCACATTCACAGTGACTGCAGACACCATGCCATACTGCACAACGCCAGCCGCAGCTCTTCTAGCAGCAACTTTAGGGCAGGCTGAGACTATCTGCGAGCTGGGGAACATCCAGCCAGGAAGTAAGATGCCAGTCTCTCCTCTAATACACAACTCCACCCTTTTTTTCTGTATTTTTTTAGGGAAGAGTTTACAGGGTGTTCAGGGTCTCAGGACTAGATCAAACTCATAGTGATCCACCTGTTTATGGCCTACCAAGTTCTGGGATTGCAGGCCCAAGCCACCACGCCCAGTCTCAATTGTCATCTCAGCGCATCCCAGGGGTGGGGCCAGCACTGCAGGCCAGGAGATCAAACCCCCAGTTCCTGCACCTGCTTGCAGGCAATCCACTGAGCTACTTGGCCAGCCCCACAACTCCACCCTTGACAAGCTGTTCTCTGCTTGGTTTAAGGTAGCCAGCCAAGCCAGGGAGATAGCTCAGCACCGTAAGTATATGCCTGGCAAGCCCACAGTCCTGAGTTTGATCCCCAGTAGGAAAAAAAAAAAAGATAACCAGACAAACAAGAATTCACTCAAAACACATCCTCACTGGTATGGACTCTGTGACCATCCAAGCAAGGTGCATGGACCCAGCTGTCCACACCCCAACTGGCTGCACTGGTGGACTTCCACAGGAAGCAGGAAGCCATTCTGGCCCCTGCCCTGGGGGAAGCGGTGGGAATGCCACAGCCCTCTCTGCGGGCTCACACCCTGTGCCTCTCTGACCCTCTTACAGAGCCCCTGGCTTCTCTTCCACTGCCTGGCTGGGGATCAGCTCTGCAGAAAGGCCTGCATGGACTCAGCCAGGGCCTCTGTGCAGGAATCACCTTCTCTTTCCTATGCAGTCAAGGTCATGCTGCAAGAATGTGCCAGGTGTAGGTTTCCAAGCGTGTAGAGGCTCCGTCAGCAGATAAAGAGCTGGTGGCAGTCAAACTTGATAGGAGAGACAGTGTAGGAAGGACTGGGTGGAAGCTGGGATAAAATGAGAGTATTTATCACTCCCTTCATTGGTTGAATATTTTTTATTTTTAGTTCAATTTGTTTTAGTCTTTGTGCTAAACAGCACCTTCAAAGAATTCTGTAATACCTGTGGACAATCAATGAAGGAGAAAACAGCAGTAAATAGCAATCTCCAAGATTGGGATCTGGAAGCCCCCCTAGAAAGGATATTTGTCACATCCCGGCCCTCTCTCTGTACACATGGCAACAAGAGAGCTTTTATAGTCAAAAGGTTTCCAAACTGACCCCTTAGCCAGGTTCCTGATATCTTCCGTTGATCCACCACACTAGGAAGAGGCAGCTTCCCTGCAAAGTGACTTTCGATCTCATCTTGCACTCTATGCTGCACTTTCCTATAGAAGTCAGTTCAAGGAGAAATGCAGCCTTGGTTATGGCCGTGTATGTAGAATCTGTCGCAGGATGGCGCTGTCCCATCTTAAGCACTGTCTGAAACATATCTTTCTACCATTCATCTCCCTAACAGCAGCCCTTCTGAGACTCTTACTGCTTGAGCCTTTACAGCAAATCACTTACTGAGCCCGGATCTACTTTTGCACTTTTTGATATTTAGAACTGCTAATGAAAGCTTCTATACGATGCCTCATTCCAAGTAAACTATCTTTTGAATAAACTAGATCAGATGTGCATAGAATCCTCCCATACTCTGGGTTCAAAAGGACAATATTCCAAAGGTGAACTCCTCAAAATAATCTGAAACATTACCTATTTAATTAATTTTGTTTCTAAGAATGAGAACATTTGATTTATAATCATGTCAAGTGAAACATAGGTGCTTAGAAGAAGTAACCGTGTCATGAATACAGCAACGTATATAGTCGAGATGAGAAGAGCTGGTGGAAAATGCGAGGACAGTACTTAAGGCAGCCATGTATGACAAGTGGCTCTTTTTCAATTTTTTATAACTTCATCTCCTTATTTTTATTGAAAAAAGTTATAAATAGTTGTGGAAAGAGTGCTACAGTTTAATGTTATAAAGTAAAACTAAACATACTTTTTCTAAATACATTTATAAAACAAGTAAGGGCAGACTTTTACTTTGCCACATATATTCCTTTAATTTTTTGAATCATGTAATTATATTATCTACAATATATTAATAAAATATATTGAATATGTACCCAAACATACATATATTATATATTTATTTCGCTTTCTCAAATTCTACTCTTCTGTTTTATTCTTTATATTTACAGCCCAGACATCGAACACCTTGAGCTAGAGGGAATCCAATAGTAGTAATTCTCTTCAACAGGCTCTGAATCATTGTAGAATTCAGACTACAGAATGAAAAGGACCAAAACAAAAGGTTAGGATACGGCTTTAATCATCCGGCAAACTTTCTTCCTTATTTTATTTTTTTTTTCTGTATTTTTTTTAGGGAACAGTCTACAGGGTGTTCAGGGTCTCAATACTAGATCGAGCTCATAGTGGTTCTCCTGTTTACAGCCTCCCAAGTGCTGGGATTTAAAGCATGTGCCACCACGCCCAGTCTCAATCACAGTCTCAGGGTGCCCCGGGGTAAGGGCCTGCACTGCAGGCCAGGAGATCGCAACATTCCCCACCCCCCACCCCCCTACCGACCCGCTACTCCTCCATCCCCCACCCCCACACCTGCACCTGCTTGTAGGCACTTTAATCTGCTGAGCTATTTCGCCGGCCCTCTTTCTTATTTTAGAAAATTCTGAAATGAAATAAATTGCCCCCTGCTGTCTCAGGTACAGCCAAACTGAGGCAGGTAGCACCAAGTGCTAGAATTATATGCAAAATATTTAATACTTCCTCTGATGTGTCAAAGTGCTCTTGAGCTGACAGCCAGCAAATACAGCCTTAGAGTGTGTGTGGCACTCAGGTGATGGGCCTGGTTTTGCACTTGGCTGGGAGCTCACATCCTGAGAATGCCTAGTGGAAGTCTCAGGGAGGGCAAGCTAACCCCCAAAGAGAATGGAACTTGGGCTGGGGATATAGCTCAGTGGCGTAAGTGCCGGCCTTGCAGGCCCAAGGTCCTGAGTTCAATTCCCATACAAAAAAAAAAAAAAAAAAGTTCTACCAAAGAGAAAGGAACTCACGCTCTGGTTAACTTCCCAGCCTACCCATCAAAGAAGTCATTTCAGCTCTCAAGAGGAGGCAGAAGGAAAGGAGAGAGAGACCAGGAATGTTACCCTAAACACAAATTGAGAAGGCAGGAGACACCATAAAGAGAGGAGGTATCTTCAGAAGAGAAAAAAAAAATGTGATACCATGAAAAATTATACCAAGTGCTTTTAAGCAAACAAAATGCTATGGCTGTTACCAATTGTGGAGGAAATCTATCCATACCATTTAATTTCTTTCCAGAATAAGAGTAAAGTTCTTTATTACCTTTCTCTGTAAAATATATATATATATATATATATATATATATATATATATATATATATAAAATTCAGAAAGCTGAAGGCACATTACTGCAATTTGGAGTTCATTTCTCTTCCTATCACCTCTGAGCAAAGTGCATTTCTGAACATGATACCATATAAGCTGTAAGGTGACCTACATTACAAAAGTTCTTTGAATGTACCATAAAAGTGTGGGTCTCTTAAAAATTGATGAATAAATTATTTTTAAAATCAAGGTTTAAAATAATGCACTGTCTCAAATAAGATAGCAAGTAATCAGATTTTTTACTGTTGGCTTACTCTGTTGTTTCTCTATTGGGAACTTTTCTCATGGAGAAAGCCACCATTGCTCTGAAGAGATATTCTTCATTTGTATCCCAGACATACTGAAAGAGAAGGAAAACAGAAAATGTAGGTCCATGGGGTAAAAAATGGTACATTCGGTAGTGAGCTCACTCCATTCTCTCTCTCTCTCTCTCTCTCTCTCTCTCTCTCTCTCTCTCTCTCTCTCTCTCTGTTCTCCTCTCTCTTCCTTTCTCTCCCTCCCTTCCTCCTTCCCTCTATCCTGTCTCACATTGAAAACTAGAGACCATGATAAATCAACTGTCTTCTTGGGCATTCTAGAATTGGAGGCTTGGTATGCTTCCTGCTGTAACATCAGCAGCCACGTGGTTGGTATTATTTGCACTTATTCACCCATCACTTCAGATTCCTTGGTCCCTCACTTCAACAATACATGCTTCAGGACTCTTTACCCCAGCTTGCCTTGCTTCCTGCATGCATCTAAGGACAATTCAACAACAGTAAACCCCTTATTGTACATGAGTAAACAAACATAACTGGAGGAAGTCATAAAACAAGGCTTTTGGTTTAACCCCAAATCGACCATGACCTACCCCAAATTGACAGGCAATCTCTGAGGTTTCTCCATCAATTTTTTTTCTCTCATGGGTCACATGACTAGCTCAAGCCTCCTACAGGCTCCCCAAGTCACAGTGCCTTTCTTCATCACTCACACTCACTAGATATTTTTCCTTTAGAATTTACAGATCTATCACAAGACATCAATTTCATTCTGATACCAAGATATGGAATTTCCTCCACAGACACACATCCTATCCATTTCCTCCTCTGGAATACTACACTTGTTTTGTTTTTCTCTCCCTTCAATGACTATAACCTTCACTTCTTTTAAGAATGTCTCCACTCTGCTTTTCTCAGAATCTAAACAGTTCATATTTCTCCTCTCTCTTCTGAGTATTCCAGTCTACCATGATTTTAACCATGATCAAGTTTTTCACACTAAAATCACAGCAAATGGGGTGCAGTGGCACACATCAGTAGTCCCAGTATTCTGGGGAGCTGAGTGAGGCAGGAGGATTGCAAGTTTAAGCTCAGAGTGGGCAACTTAGCACAACTCTGTTTAAAATTTTAAACTGAATGTGAGGGCCAGAGATGTAGCTCAATGCAAAGACCTTAGGTTCAATTACCAAAACCACTAAATAAATAACAGTCTTTCTTTCATCCACCCCCTGCCGTCTCTCTACTCTTCGCTGCCAAAATTCTCAGAGTTACCCATACTTCTGTTTCACACATCCACCACCAATTTAACTCCTTCGAACATTTGCTTTCCAATTTCAACACCCTACAGAAACAGCTCTCTCTAAAGATGCCACTGACTGCCACGCTGCTTAACACAATGAGCAGTTTTCAGTCTTCCTCTTCTTTGGCCTCTAAACAACAGTTGATGCTCTTGAACACCTCCTTCATTTTGAAATAAAAGTGCCTGACACATCTCACATGCTCCCTGGCGCAGTCCCTCATTCTCCTAGCTTATCATGTCATGCTCCTCCTACTGCCCCAATTCCAGACACCTCAGCCTGCTTTCCATCCTTCACACTTACCAAGCTCATTCCTGTAATAAGCCTTGGCGTGAACCTCTAACTTCCCTTTTTTTGTTCCCCTGGTTCACTTGCCAAGGCCTTCCTATAACATTCTCAAGACTGCACATGCATATTTGGTTTGCTGAGTATTTAATCAGTAACTGATTCTCTTGCTACTGTAAGTTCCATGGGGCAAGGACAAGCCCACTATTAGCTTCCACAGCATCCTGACCATCCAGCATGGAACCTGCTCTGAGGCTCCTAGAATGAGAAACCCTACACACTAGTAAAGAGTGCAGATTGTACAGTCGGACTGCATGAGTTCAAACTTTCCCCTGAACACTTCTTACTGGATTAAGATGTTAAGAGGTTCCCTGAACTCCTTTGGGCCTCAATTTTCTCACCCATCCAATGAGAACAGGAAGACCTGTGCTATCACCCTGATAAATCCTAGTACTTAATGCAACTCAGATCAACAGAACAGAAAACTAGTTAAACTACCCCCCAAACTGCTGAAAGTTCAATAGAAATCATTTTAGTTTAAATGTTTCTTTCAAACACATTTTAGTTTAAATGTTTCTTTACACCCTCAAAAAGGGGTAAATGGGCTGGTAGAAGTGAAAGTGCTAAGAAGGTCAGAAAGTAAATTCGGTTCTCAGTACACGCTGGCAGTTACAAGGACTATTATCCATCAAGTGAACAATAAAATGATACACTAATGGAGTGGCCTGCAAACAGAATATCTGCACATTCCTTCAGCACTCTCCTCTGTTTTTGTTTTGTTTAGTTCTGTTTTTGGCTTCTAGCCTGAGTCATCTTAATATCACCTACTGGGAGGAAACAAATATGCAAACCACACCAGGAAAGTAAAACTAGAATGCAACAATACTTTTGAATTTTATAGTCTGTATTGTTCTTATATCCACATGGGCCCTATGAGAATTTTCAGAACTTCTATTTGATAAGCATGTATTTCATATTGTCACACTGATAAGTGGAAGGAATTCAAACTTTGTGTTAGAACTAAAAAACGTTTGTGCTATGAAAGACTTTATATAGGTGGTATGATCCCTTCTTTTTGGTGACTGGAAAACAGGTTGACAAAATTCAAATGAACACAAAAGTGAAATGCAAACCCAACCCAGTCCGGAATGCCTGACTCTGGGCCCTACACTCCATGATGCTGGGTCCAAGATGGAAGGTTTTTAATTCTTTGGTGTAACACAGACCTTCACGTATTTTTAAGCACACAAAGTAAGTACTTTAGGAAAATCCATTTCAATAACAATTTCTATTTTACGATAAGCTTCCTTTACTTTAGGAAAAGATCAGACTTTCATTCTTTAGAAATAATGTACTCAAGATTAAGATTACCATGCACAGCAATCAATTATTAAAGTAAAATGCTATTACAAAGAAAATTTAAAATGAATATGTAGATGCTTCACTTACTGCTTTATCTCCAAGAGCTGTTCGGATACTAAGTCTCACTTTAAAGGCATTTTCTGCATCTGCCAGAAGAACAAAGAAAGAATAGTATATGATGATAAAGTCTATCCACACAAAGCCTGATAAATCCTAGTACTTAATGCAACTCAGATCAACAGAACAGAAAACTAGTTAAACTACCCCCCAAACTGCTGAAAGTTCAATAGAAATCATTATAGTTTAAATGTTTCTTTCAAACACATAAAGCAGTCACCAGCTCCACTTTGAAGCCACAGCATGTCTGTAGATTGAGAAAAATAGAATTCTTTCGGTTGATGACTTCCTCAGAGATTTAAACGTGGAATCTATTTTTAAGTTTCAAAGTTACATACCTGGTTGACAGAGTTCAGCATGAATAACAGTCACTAGGAAAAAGAACAGCCACAACATTCTTTCAGAGTGGAAATCACAAGGCAAACTGAGAAAAAAAAATCCACCCTCCACTTAAAGCTGCCTTAACCATTCTGAGAGCCGGATTAGAATATCAGAGAAATCAGTGAGCCACCATCCAAAAGGTTTAATAATTAACACCCATCAATTGGGTTAATACTTCCAAGCAGATCATCTCCGGTCAGTTATTTATGAACATGTGTTTGGAAAACAGAAATAGATCTTTGTTTTTACAAAAATCTGGCTCAAAAGAATGCTTCCTGTGTTGACAAATTCTGAATCTTACCCCATGCCCCTCCTTCTGCACTTGTCTGGTTAGATGCCCCATAGAAAGAATGTGGAAAGAACTGAGGTCCATTTGGAGGTCTTCCTTGGCAAAACTGCCCACCTTCCCAGGTTAGCCCGCCCAGTGGGGAGGCGATCTGAATCTGGAAGCAAATGTCACTCCTTTCTACCTCTGGTGAACAAAGGATGCACCTCCCAGGAAGGCCTCACCTGACTGCGCCAAGGCAGGTCCACCTGCAGGACCCTTTGTGTTACAACATACAGGGTGGTTCTGCTGGGCCTCAGGCCTGGCAGCTGTCTAGGTTCAAAGGGAGGAAAGGGACAGTGCTGCCCCCGGGAACATTCTGTGGTCCTGCGGACGTGCTCTGGATGTGCTATCCAACATGGGAGCCACAAGTCATAGGCGACAGTGGTGCCTGAAATGGGACTGGTGACACGAAGAGCGTGAACAACTTGTGCAGTGCCATTTAAGTGAGTAGAAGCCACCACATGGGGCTAGTGGCTCCTCTGCTCAGGGCAGCTGTACAGCAGTGACTGACAGCCACCTGTCATGGCCTGGTTGGCCTGGATTATTCCTCTACTCCTCACCTCACAGTGATTACAAATCATCAGACATTGCAGGACCCGAGGATCTGGTGTTGAGGTCACAGGCAGCAGTGGCAGCAGGCACGTGGCCACCCTTAACACATTGGGGCACGATCTCCCCACACTGAGTTGTGCTGCACCTCTCTGGGCCTCCTAGGTCAAAACTGAACTCGCAAGAAAACCTCAGAGGTGCTCTGAGGATGAAGATAGTGAATGAATATACTCTCCCCTGGTGGCCATGCCCCTGAAGCCAGCAGAAGCCCCCAGCAGATTTTCCTCTCGGCCCTGTCCCCTCTTCACAAATGCAGCCCCCAGATTCCTTGCAGATCATGGGCAGAAGGTTTAGACTGAGTGGCCCAAGGGCAAATGGGAAATGTGGATCTCTAAAGCAACAATGAGGAAAATATCAACCCCTTCACCTCTGCAGCACCCTGCGACACACTGCACACAGCCCTGCTCCTAGTGAAGGAGCGATTCTATTGGAGGTCACCCACTTGTGCTGGCTCAATCCACCTCAGGAGCCTTTTCTCTCTCCTTCTCTTTGGCCACAAGTGTGTTGAGTCAGGAAAGGCTGGACCCCCAGGGAGACAGTCAAGCCCACTCAGCCATTCCAGCAATTTCACTTTCAGTTGCAATGGAAATTTCCTGGCGAGAAGAGCTCACTTAGCTACTACCCCCTGAAGAAATGCCAGACTGGATGCAGTTATCTTAGGAAGGAAAAGTCAATACTGGTGGAGATAGGGATTGTAGCAAAGCGTGTTATTCACACCAAAGACCACAGTCGTGTTAAAGACACGGAAATCTAATCAAACTTTTCTTTAGTTTTGCATTTCATAAAAGTGACAGATTTCTTTATATATTTTTAATCATTTTTTTACTAGAAGACAGTAAAGTTTTAGTCAATGTAAGCCATTAAAGAATAGAATCTTTCAATGTTTTTCAGAATTTTAAAAAAAAAAATGAAGAGTACAAGGTAGAATTAAAACAAAGAAAATTACAAGTGATACAGATTTTAATTTAATAAAGTAATACGAATTTCATAGTATTTGTTGTAATATAGTGTTGTCTTCCAACCAGTTGTTCATATTACCAGATATATGTATATAAAATTGAAGAACAAAAGAAAGAAATATATAAGAAATTCAGAAGACAAAAAGGGCACACAGGGGGCTAGGGAGATAGCTCAGTGGAATAAGCACTTGCCTGGTAAACACAAGGTCCTGAGTTTGATTGCTGGTACTGCAGAGAGAAAGAGAGAAAGAGAGAGAGAGAGAGAGAGAGAGAGAGAGAGAGAGAGAGAGAGAGAGAGAGAGAGAATTGTAAAAAGGAGACAAAACAAATTAAAACATTAACTGCTTATTTCCATAGACCAGCAGAAATGCACTTTACAATTGTCCAAACCATCCTGCTTGCATACCTAGATAAATCTCTTTCCCCCACTCCCTCTCCTGTCCTCAACTCAGGAACTCTTTACTTTTGAATAAGTTTATTCCCTTTTACCAGCGTTTATTGTACCCTTCAGATTCCATTTTTCTCTTTCAGGTTCTCACACTGAGGAGACAATACAATGTTTGCACATGTGGGTCTGATTTATTTCACTTAAGAGTAGGTTCTCTAGTTGCTTCCATTTACCAACAAAAGATTGTAATTTATCCTATTTTATAGCTGAATAATACTCCATTGTGTAAAACTACCACATCTTCCTTATCCATTCTTCAGTTGATGGGCATCTGGGTTGTTTCCAGGATTTAGCTATGGCAAACTGTGCTTTTATAAACTTGGGTGCACATATATTGCTGTGGTATGAGGTTTTCAGTTCTTCTGAAAAAATACCCAGGAGAGGAATAGCTGGCTTGAATGGGACCTCCAATCCTAGCTTTTGAAGGAATCTCCACACTGATTTCCATAGTGGTTATACCAGTCTGCACTCCCACCAACAGTGCAGAAGGGTTCTTTTTTCTCCACAGCCCCTCCAGCCTTTATTATTGGCTGACTTCTTGATATTAGCCATTCCATCTTAGATGAGATAGAATTTCCATGTTGTTTTAACTTGCATTTCTCAAATGACCACTGATGTTGAACGTTTTTTCATATATTTACTTGCCAATTGTATTTCTTCCTCTGAGAAGTATATATTTATCTCAGATGCCCATTTTTGGACTGGGTCTTTGAATTTGAGGGGACTGATTTTTTTTTTAATTCTTCATATGTTCTAGGCACAACGTCATTGTCTGAGGGAGAGTCAGCTATAATTTTTTCCCAGCTTGTGGGTTTTCTTTTTACTCTGTTGGAGATTTGCTTTGAAGTGCAGAAACTTTTCAAAAAGATGAGATCTGAGCCTGCCAAATAGCTCAGCAGATTAGCCTGCAAGCAGCCCCAGGGGCTGGGGGTTCAATTCCCAGGCTTGCAGTGCCAGCCCCACCCCCAGGGCCCACTGAGAGGTCAATTGAAACTGGGTGTGGTGGCACGCACCTGTAATCCCAGCTCCTGAGAGGCTATAAACAAGCAAATCACTACGAGTCTGATCTAGTAGTGAGAACCTGAACACCCTGGAGACCCTTCCCTAAAATACAAAAAAAAAGAGATGAGATCCCAGTTGTTGATTCTTTGAAGTGTTTCCCATGCAGTTTGGTTATTTATCAACTCTCTACCTTCTCCTATGTCTTTAAGATTTCTACCTACTTTTTCCTCCAGATTTAGTGTGTCTCTTTTAATATTTAAATCTTTGATCTATTTTGACTATAGCTTTGTGCATGGTGATAGGTACGTGTGCAGTTTTAGCCTTCCACATGTAGAAACCCAGTTTTTCCAGCACCATTCATTAAAGAGGCTCTTTATTCTAGTGAGCCTATTGGCCCCTTTATCAAAAATAAGGTACTGAGTGTATTTGCAGTTGTGCCTGCATCTTCTAATCTGTTCCACTGATCCTCAGATCTGTCTCAATGCCAGTACCATGCTGATTTTATCACAGTAGCTTTACAGTATAATTTCAAGTCAGGCATTGTGATACCTCCTGCATTTCCTTTGTTTTCCTGGATTGCTTTTCATGTTCTGGGTCTCTTCTGGTTCCAAATGAATTTGAGCAAAGTTTTCTCTAGCTCTGTGAGGTATACTAATTGTATTTTAATTGGGATTGCATTGAATCTGTATAATAATTTTGGGAGTATTGGTCAACAATGTTGGTTCCTCCTATCCAGGAGCATGGAATATTTTCCCATTTTCTCAAATCCTCTTCTATCTCTTTCCTTAGAGTACCATAATTTTCACCGTATAAATCTTTTATGTCCTTTGTGAGACTGCTTCCTAAATATTTCATTTTGGGGGATGTTATTGTGAAAGGTGTGGTTTCCCTAAATTCTCTCCCAATGTGTTCACTCGTTGTGTACAAAAATGCTACTGATTTTTGGGCGAAGACTTTGAATCCTGTTACATTGCTCAACTTGGTGATTAAATCTGCAAGACTTTTGATGGAGCTCTTGGATTCCTATATGTAGAGGAAATGAATAGTTTCCTATATACATATGAAATGCCAAAACTGAGTCAAG